TAATAATGACAAAAGATAATTATTGAGCCTGTCTGTCAGATATCCCAGATACCCACACCTCTACTTAATTAATTGCTAATTAAGATATGAAAGAACTGCAGTGTCTCTTACACATCCTGCCTTTATTAAGTCTCAGCAATCTTCCTAAGGGAAAAGGAAGCCTAAATTGCCAAGACCGAACTCCTCCTTTGGTCTAGAAACTGTGGGTAGAAGGTGAGAGGCAGGTAGAGAAGTCTTGTGCTTTTAAGGAGCCAAATATGGGTGAGATTGTCAACCGTTGCCCAAATCACCCATTTTCTCATCAAGATGACTAAGTCCTATTTGTTGGCCACTCACAATCTCATGTTAAGTAATTGACTGCTGTGAGGGTTAAGGAAAAAAATAGGAATCAGCAGCAATACATCGTGTATTGGATAGCTCTGTGCAGAGCTGATGGGCACCTTGGCTTTTCCTGGGACATTTTCACCAATTTGCACTAAGTAAGCCGAACTTATCCAAGTAATGAAATTTATTACTTTGACTCTCAAAAATACCGTTGCCATGAGGTAACTTATCCCTGCTGGTGTGGGGAGCTATGTCTCACCTGGGTGAAAACAGGGCTGTGGTTGGAGTCAACAGGATCTCCTAAGCGACACTCCCCACCCTACACAGCTCCTCAGATCTTGCCCGGCAGTTGGGCAGAGAGGCTGGGTCCCAGTCCATCCCCTCACGTCCCTGAACTCGCCTTCAAGACAAGAGGATCAACATTTGATGAGGAAAGGAAGTCAAATGCACATTTCCTGGACATATTTCCTAGAAAAACTTTTTTCCAATGATGAGCTGTTCTAAGTTGACCCAGAAAATGGAGACAAAAGAAATGTTGAGCACTGAGAAGCCCGGGCAGGTGAATTGGTGGTTGCAGGAGGGGTCAGAAGGACACATCAGTTTGCAGGGAGCCATGTTGCCACACTTTGTAGACCTGGAGCTCTGTGGTTCCACAGTCTCCTCCTCAGTTCCTTCTGGAAGTGTGTCGGCTGAAAAGGGTTTGGGAGCACAGCCTTGCACTTGTTATCTATCTCCTGCTAATACTTTTGCCTCTAGATCTTCTTACCACAGGAATACTTGCTCATATTGTAGCACAGCAGCGTCAGTTTCTGTTATAATAAGTCTTTGCTTTGTCACCACTTATATGCAAATCTGCTCCAAGATAAAGTCTTTGTGTGATCTCTTCAGGGCTGTATGGCTTGTTAATTAAATTAAATGGATCTATTAGTGAGGTAATGCATATTATATCACAGGTCCAGTGGATCAGCTTCATTATTTGCTTCATTCTAACAGAGCAAGCATGGCTTCAGGATTCTCAGCACACACTTGCTCAATTTCAGTGTGGCTATTGCTAAGCACACAGCTTGAAACTGTTAGCAGGCAGAATGAGGGTTTCCCCAGGACCCCCAAACCTGCATGCTCTAAATGGGTTTTGCCATCTGCCCCATAAAGACAAAACATATTCTTAGTGCTTAAAATCATCAACAGAAAAGAATTTTAATACAATTAATGTGTAAGAGAGAGAAGGAAAGAATATAATTAAAATACTATCAATGAAACACTCCATGTGACTCATCCCCTTGTGGGTAAATGCCCAGCCAAACAGGATTGGCTCAAAGCAGAGCAGCTGAGACCTGAAAGCTTATCACAAGTCTAAGGTAACTTGTGGTGGGAACCAATAGAAAGGGGCCCAAGGGACCAGGTAAGTCTGGAAGGAAAGGAGCGAAATCATAATTAAGGCTGCCATTGTGAGTCTCCCGTTGGGCCTCTACCCAGGGTCTCTGCCACATCCCCCAAATCCGTGGTACAAGTCCAAGCCTACGAAGCAAGAGCAGCTTCTTCACATATCTCTCTGCTTCATGTACCTCCTCCTGGTCTTCTCTCTTTTTCTTTTTCTCCCTCTCTCTGTCTTTTTGCTCCCCCTAGTTGGCTCAGCTCTATCCTTCCTTGGGTGGAGCAGGGAATCTGGAACCACCCCTTTCTTGTGGATTACACTGTTAAGAAAACCTGCTGATTTTTTTTTTAATTAGTTACATGGAAAAGAACACAAAATCAGAACAAAGGAGCCCATGTCCTGTTATGCCCCCAAATAACCCTCTGTAAGTTTGGTGCATGCTTCCCAAGTGGCTTTCCTGTTACACCCACCAGTCCCCATTTCTCTTCCTGAACAGAGCCCCTTGAAGGCAGAGAGTCTGCATCCACTTTTTGTATCCCTAGTACCTGATCTCTCAGGAGGTTCTTAAGAAATGAATACCTTCCATACCCAAAACACCGAAGGACTACATCTATTTAGGAAGCCCGGGGTCATGTGAGCATGAAGAGAGAGCAGGAGTCTCTGCTCCATGCCGACAATCTGGGAGTGGAGGGGAATGTGAGTGGGGCAGGAAGGAGAGGAGCAAAGAGAGGCCGGCAACAAAAGGAGAAAAATAAGGAAACTGCACTCCAGAAGCCTAGCTGGATAATTTGCTCTTCTATTTGTAAAAATATGTGTGTGTATGCATAAATAAGTTAGGGGGAAATGATGATGCTCATATGTTAAGGCAAAACAAGTTGCAGAATATTTCAGTTAAAAACTATAAACAAAGCATCTCATATATCTGTGTATATAATATAATTAGGTTTAAATGAGCACATGGTGGGTGCAGATTGCGGATGCTCTGAGGCACCACCCCAAGAAGGCTCCCCAACCCAACCGCTGGGCGTGCTGGCTGCTCTTAGCTCCCAGCTGAGTTCTCCCAAGGAGGTGCCCTCAGTCAGTGGCAGCTGTTTTGTGCAGGATTGAGCCTCCCTTCCCTGGGGGCCGCTCACATCCCAGATGGGTGGAGTCCTGACACTGAAGAACTCCCTCTGACGGGTTCTGCTTCTTCTCTGTCCCCATAAGTCTGCCCCAATAAACCTTCAGTGTACAGATTCTTCCTTGGGAGCTTGATTTAGAACTTAGGACAATGTGGGCTCTCCCTGGTAGTGCAATGGGTTAAAGCACCACATTGTGAAGCTCTCAGAAGCCACTGGAGCATGAGTTCAATCCCCGACCAGGTGACCCATATGGTGCAGCACACCTCCTCTGACCCACCTGCTGCTCCCCTCAGCAATGTACTTTGTCAGTCTACCTGTTCTGCTCCCCACTCTGTCTCTGGTGAAGCCTCTCACCACCTCTGGCCTGTACCCTAGTTCTGTGAACAAACATAAATAAATCTTAAAAAAAAAAAAAAAGAACTTAGGACAATGTAAAGATACATACCATTATATAAAAGTGTTCACCTCCAGAAGCTGAAATAGATGGAGGGAAGGGAATGATCAGCGTTTTGGTATCCATCTTCATGATGATTCTTTTATCACATTGAACATGTATCACTTTTATAATTTCAAGAATAGAAAAAAAGAAATTTAAAATGTACTGCTAGTTGAATGAATGCATGACTGTGCTTAATCTAGTAAGATAAATAGATAATAAAATGAATTCTTGAAGATACCAAGGCTTAATGAACTAAACTGGAGGAATTTTGCCAGCAGTTTTGATGACTTTTGTCTTAATTGGTTCAAAAGAGATCAGTCACCTTGCAGACAGGATAAGAAATAAAAATGCCAATGGGTGAAAGCAAGAAGGAGAAGCAGTTTTAGTTTCATGAAAGGAGAGATTCTCTAATACTAGAACTTTTGCATATAAAATAAGCTATACATTTGGACAGTTGTTGTCCAAATTACTCTGTCCAACAGACAGATTAAAGAACATTCTGTAGCTCTTCCATTTGGTGCACAGCCAGATTAGAACTGGAGGAGGAAATACCTGGTGTTCATATCACCTCCAGCACTCTGCCTTGGGCACGGGGTCACCCACAAATGACCACTGTCCTCCTCAGTAAGGCAGTCACAGATCCTTCCCAGCCCACTCCCAAGCAGCCGCTGCCAAAGTACCGGTGTATTCATCAGCAATGAGATCTATTCTCCCTTCCAGAACTAAAGGAGATCTCTTCTTGCTGCAATCCCATGGTTCCATGAGGTCCTCCAGGGAAGGTTGATTTATTCAGGAACAACATAGGTGTGCAAATCTATGCCTTAGCCTATGCCTTAGTCAAAGGCTTGTTCTTCCCTTCTTCCAGAGATACTTAATTTTTGGAAAGACATCCTTTTCAGACACCTATAGATGAACTCCCGAAGGCTCAGGGTCCCCTTTGGAGAAGGTTCAGAAGTGGGTGGAGAAGCAAGGCCTGGAAGGCTCAGCTGTTGTCATGCAGCTTTAGATTGTGCTCCTGAGCCCTGGAAATGGTGCAGGGGGAGCCCTGGCCCAGGTTCTGCCTAGGAGCTCTGCTTAAAGAGGCTGACGAATTGTGCACTTGAATAGATGCCCTTGTTTCTGTAGGTAGTAGTCTAACCTGAGAGAATTTCTCTTCATTGTGCATTCATTTACTTGCTGAGTGCTCATTGTTCTGTGCTGGCAATGCTCTTAGACAAGAACTAAAACATGAGCAGAGCAGAGTATCTGTCCTTGAGGAGTTTAGAATGCAGAGTGAAAAGGGCAAAATGCAGAGACTGACAATAAGTGATGGTGAGATGCACCAGGCCCCAGGATATTTAAGACACAAGGGGAGCTCAGGTATAGGAAGACTAGGGCCTTCCTAAAGGAGGTGCCAGTTTGTCATAATCAGGTCATCTAAGCAAGTTGCTATAGGCACCTCAAAGATTTTAGAATAGATTTTCCAAAACCTATTTCTGGATTTATAATCCTTTTGTAGAATTTTTGCCTTAAATATTTACCACCTTGTTGCAAAGCTATGAGAATGAATGGAAGAAAATTAATGGCATACATAAAACTCTCTGAAATGACAGTTTTCTTTGCTTTCGAAACCCACATGGCTTATCTCCAAGTGTTTTTCAAGAGGAGATACGGCATTTGGAATGGAAAGGGAAACTGAGGTTCCTTAATTTGAAATCATAAACATATTTTTTTCCCCTCCCTCACTGCTGTTACAGGTGGCCAGAGCTTCATAGCTGCACAGAGACCAGGTCTCTCTTGGAGTTAGGATTAAAGAACATTCAGGAAAGAACAAATCTTGAAGACACCATCAGTAAAGGTACTGTTTCCTGTGAACCTTTTACTATCCATCATTGCTATGGCCAGTTTGAGGCTTTCACTGGTGACTAGTCCCAGGGATTTTTGACAGTTTGTCACAGTGGTAACAGCCTGGGGAAAAGTCTCCCTGCAACGAGGTGGTCAAGAGCCTTAGCTCTGCTGGGCTTCTTGCCATTTTGAAAAAAGCAGGAGAAACTAGGCACCGAGGTTTCGGCTCCTCATAAAATATTTCCGAAATGTGTTTCATGATGTGGTGGGTAATAAAAGTGTGTTACTGCTCTGGGTCCTTCCAAGAGGCTAGATTTGATTCCCACCCCGACCGTGCCTGAACAGGGCCCACATGAATCAGTGCTAAATTATTCACCAGCCTGACTCTAAAATTTCTGGAGTTCCAAAACCTCTAATAAAGTATTATGAAAAAATATCCATCTCTTTATCTCTATCCATAACTATTTATATGGCTAGAGGAAAACCTGTCGTTTTATTTCTCTTAATTTAAAAGCTTTCCTAATTCCTTTTTCATACCACATATATATGCCTAAAGAATTTTCTGGTTGAAATAATAACCTCTGAAAAATGGTCCATGGGAGAAGGCTCTCAGGATTCAGGGAGTTGACAGACACAGTGAATATCTCGCTCCCTTAATAACATTTCCTGGCACTCAAACTTGAGATGTTCAATTGAGAACTTATCAAACAGGTGTGGCCCATTTTTATTGTACAAAACAATGATAATATACCCGCCAGCCTTCTCTCTCTGCTTATACAATTGCTAAAGTGTGTTTGGGAAAAATTCTCTTCATCCAAACTCATTAGGCACTTCCAACTGATAAGATCAGTCTTTTCTAAAGTCTCCGGATGGAAACAACCCAGACTGATCCCAGTGTCACTTGGGGACACATGACTTCAAAGTACTGCAGCCCGTTTGAAACACCTCTGAACATATGAACTTGCAAGAGGTATCACTGCTTAAGCTGGCTATCAGTCATTCCCACTTGAGATTGATCTGGTTCAGTTAGTGCTTATATCAGTTAGTGCCAATATCTGGTTGAGATCAAGTTCTCCGCAACCAAGCAGAGCTGATGTAGCATGGACATTCTGAGTAGCAAATAATGGTAATGCTCATGAGAGCTTCACTGGAAATGTATTAAGATGGAAATAGTTTTACTTACAAGCTGTCTGCTCAGAGAAAGTGCTTATAGACCCAAAGCAGTAGTTGACAAATCACTTGCATAGAGGGATCAAACCCTCCAGTCCTCATGGTCCCTCCAGGAAAATGTTGGTCTCTAAACTGACTCTGAATAAGATGGGTTCCAATGGGGTATAGGATTTGCTGTGCTGTCTCCCTCTTTACATTGAGGTTGGATAAGTATTTAACAAATACTGGTTTAAATGTGAGAAAGTATTCACTTGTCAGAGTACCAACATAGCTCATATTGTTCTGAACTGAGGATTTTTATTTGGGGGGTGTGGGAGAGGTGATAGGAGGGACAAAAGAAAGAGCCAAGGACCCCAGCAACCTGAATAAGACTCCTGGGGAGCTCCAGCAGTTGCTGGAGACAGGTGACAGCAGTCATCTGTCCTGCAGGTGATAGGCAGTGGGAGAGGGTTTACTAGTGAAGACAAATGTGATATCATTCCTAGACCTGGCTTTATTCAGCAACCAGGTCCCTCGCCCCGGACCTATGCACTTAGTCTACAGGCTGAATCACAGAAGGTTTGTGAGAAGCAAGCATGAAACTGATTTTTTTTTATGATTATGATACCTATATATATTTTATTGTACAAATTGTACAGTCGTACATATATTTTTATTGTACAAATTGTACAATTGTATATATATAATATTTTATGATTTGTAAATACATATATATTTATTTTACAAATTGTATATATATATGTATATATATATATATATATATATATATATATATATATATATAGTTGGTCTTAAAGCCATTGGAATTTCCTGAAGAGATAAGACAGATAAAGGTATCTGAATATAAACTCACCTGAGTTTATATTAATATGGAAGCTCTGGTGAAGCACCTAAGGATGGGGGCAGGGGTGAGGGCTGGTTGACAGGAGAACCAACCAGGTGATTAAATGAGTTTGAAACTTAAGCCTTTCTATCCCACTCCTAGCCCTAACCCCACTCCCACCCCTATGGGGAAAGGAGAGGGGTTGGAGTCTGAGTTTAATCACCATGTCCCGGCCGGTGGTTACTAGGAATCATGCCCACATAAACCCCACCAATATAGGGTTCAGAGCTTCCAGACTAGGAAACTCAAACATATGCATGTATGTGTTCCCATGCCAGGTCCTACTCTTCTTGGGTATCTCAGCCTGTGTGTCTCTTCATCTGATTGTTGACTTGTGTCCTTTAATCTCCTTTAGTCAACCAGTAATCTAATAAGTACACTGGTTTTTGAGTTTTGTGAGCCATTCTAGTCTAGAAAGTTAATTGAAAGTTAAGTTTTTTTTTTTTTTTTTCCATGATCCCTCATGGAAACCTCTGATTTATATAGCCAGTTGGTCAGAAGCACAGGGAACAACCTGAATTTGCAATTGACATCTGAAGTGGGGGGTGGCGGGGAGGACAGTCCTTTGGGACTGTACGTGCTTAATGTGCACAGCCTGATACTGTCTCTGGATGGGCAGTGTGAGAATTAAATTGAATGGTGGGATACCCAGGTTGTGTCCAAGAATTGCTTGGTGCCAAGATGATTGAGGGCTACCCCACATTAAAATAAGTGTTAGTATCAGACTTATTATCAAACCACATTAGAGCCAGTACGAAACTCCACATCAGTCTAGGATAGACAGACTTCCTGGGCGAAGGGAGAGTCAGACCAGTGCTGGCTATTCTGGGCTCTCCTTGAAGCCAGCTAACAACTGTCAGTTGGTCCAGGTAGGGAAGAGGGAGCCTGCTGGCCCTCTGTAGGGAAGAACCTCTCTGAAGTCTGCAGGATGCAATCTCAGAGGAAATCTTCAGAATGCCAGCTGCCCTTTTGATGACATCTCAAAACCACCTCCAGGGCCGGGGATGAAATCCTCTTGCCAACCTTGTCATGTGTGGCCGACTGACCTCCCAGGAAAGCTGAATTGTCTTGATTAGTCCTTTCCCCATGAGCTTATATTAGCTTCTCCCAGCATGGTTTGGTGTCAGAATTGCAGAAGTCACCACCAAGGAAGAGACAACATGTCCACCTCATTGCTCTTTCACAATTCCGAGGCTTATCACCAGGCTGGTATGAGCTGCCTTCTTCAGCCTGCCCCCAACTGGCCTTGGTTTCCCATGCATTTGAAAGCAGCTTATTTTAAAAGCTGATTAGATGAGCCCTTAATAACATTAGAATTTAAATGGCCCCAGATAGGCTTTCAGCTTCTTGCCAAATTGAGATAAATGTGATATTTGGGGAGCTGAGTTCCCAGCTTTGTGGCAGCTCTGGCCCGTGGACAGATTTTGAAACAGCCTGAAACTAAGTTTATTGTGTGTGGTCTAGAGATCTAGGACTCTGTATGTTGGTGTGGTTCCATGATTGCACATTTGCAAGGACTGTTAAGTTGGGGCCAAATTTGACAGGACAGAGTTATCATAGGTGCATTACAATCTACAGGAAAACTCTCTGTACCCTCACTCTCTCTAGTAACTTTCAGTTCCAGGCAACGCACTAGTAACTTTCAGTTCCAGGCAGCGCACCTTTATTGAGCAACTACTATTTCCATCCTTTAATGCAACATTAATGCAGTTAGTACCTGACTTTTGCTGAGAATAACATACATGGCCATGATATGGTTGTCTCATCTTGACTGACATACTCTATAATGGAGAAGAGGAAGTATACTCTAAGTCTAACTAAAGAGATAAAAGGAGGCAAGCTCAAATTACCAAAAGTTGAGTTTTTTTAGGAAAGCACAGGATGTGTAGTTTTCAAATGCCTGCAGTAGCCAGTCTAGATGAGTGTGTACAGGGTGAGCATTGATCTGTATTTGGAGGATAAACATTGATCTGTATTTGTGGGCAAGAGGCACAAAAAAGAGTACAAGCACAATACCATTGGCTTGAGAACACAGAGAGATTTCTTGCCTGGATGTTCATTGATCAAAAAATAAATCTGTTTTCCATATCTAGGCATCTCTGAAGTTCTGTTCTTTTGAGGGTGTATATGTGAAATTCACCATTTCATGTCCTCTGGTTCCATTTTATATGGAAATCATCTCACAACAGTTATCAAGAAATAGAGGATTGATTGCACTCCCATATAATCCTCTTCTGTAATTTTTAGAAAAAGTTCAAAACAGAGTAGGTGGGGTGGGGGTGGGGAACACAGCCAAAGGTGAAGATCAATGGACAGTTCATTGAGGTGAAGGTACGTGTACAAATCCAAACCTGAGTTGTGTCTCTTCCCTGTCTTTCTCCAAGTAAGTCAGACTTTTGAGCATCCTTAGAATTAAAACTTGAAACTCCTGGGACTGTCCATAAAAGAAGTGCAACTGAGTTTAAGCTTCCCTTTGAAAAGCTCACTGAATATTAGCTGCTTTGCCTTTCAGAAGCCAAACCTTGGGCTTAAGTTTATATGCACTTGTGTTCCATCAGGGGAAGACCATCCATGTCCCATATTTTCCTGAAGTAAAGCTAAGAATTCCAAGGAGGGTATTATGATGGGTAAAACAAGTCAGAGAGGAAGAAAATATCTTATGATTTGACTCATACATGGAAGATAAACAAAACAAACAAACTCTTAATTAGATAATGAGAACAGAATGGTGGTCACCAAAGCAGAACGGGGCTGTGGGGTGAATACAGGGTGGAGGGGGTCAATTGTACATGGAGAATGGGAACTAGATTCTGGGGGTGATCATGATGCAGCATATGCAGATATCAAAATATACATCTGTGGAAGGTGTTGTTGAAAGGAACCCACGCCAGCGGTCTTAGAGAAGAGAGGTTTATTAGGGCCATTTGCTGAACTGGACTCTAAGGGAGAAGGGGCCGCAC